GACAAAATCAAATGGCTCGCATCACGACTTTCCGTCAATAGAAATGAATAGATTATATATAATATTTATCTCAGAACGCGAAATCTATTCTTATGATAAATATATTATTAATTGGTACTTACCTATCGTACGTTGTACTCAGCTTACGATCGTCCCTCCTCGAATCTCGTTTGTCCTTCGACGAACCGCAATCAATATCCATCATCTCTGTCTCGATGACCTCGGACTTTGTGCTGTGACTGACGGATGTAGACTCGATGAGAATTCCGTGCGTCTCGATTGGGTTTTGGCCGAACGCGCGCACTCACTATATGCGTGCCATGCTGTCGAACGCGCACTAATTATTAATTACACTATGCGTATTATTGCTAAACGCGCACTCACTGCATATTTGTGCACTGCCGAATGTACGTGCTGCCAAACGCGCACTTAATATGCGTACTCCTCGAATGCTTGATTGACATAGTTCGATAATTTGTAATTCAAACTCGCGACGCCGGGAGCGCGCCACACAGTACCATCCACACGCTGCGCCAATTCCCTACTGCTGAGCGCCCTGCGCCCTGCGCCACGTCAGCGCGCCGCGGCCGTCGAGCCGCCGAGCCCGGCCTCCCCACGCGCATGCGCGCGCTGCGCGCCTCGCCGCTCGCCGCGATAATTTTCAATTGTATGGAATTTTGAAGGAATAATTACACCGATATTAAGCATATCGTATATTGTTCTGCGTGCTCTCCGGAAATAACGAGTGACGACAATACCGTAGAAACAGAGACTCACACTTGATTTATTATACATATAATTTAATTTTAAACGAGAGAGAAATCGATGGTTCCTCTAATTTTTCTCCGTTGCACGGCTAGGATAAAAAATCGTAATTGCTTGCTGTTAATTATTACAAACTTCTGATACACATTACGGTAATCTAACAGATAATTTAATATGCGAAATGAGCAAAACAATTCCGTAATTAACTGAACTGTAAAATAATTTGATCGCTTAAATTGCCTAAATCCTTAGCCGATTTCTCTCGGTGTGATAATCTAAATAGAAACAGTACAGGGATTGTTAAATAACTGACACAACTTATTTAAAATAACAAATATAAAATAAATTCCAGAAACTTATTTAAAATAAAATATTGCAGGGGCCGGTAAAAAAAAACTCATACGATCATTCAAATATTGGAGTAGAAAATTTAATCAATAATGCATTTAATAAGACAATTAATGATATACTCATTATATTCTCAATCACATTTCCTGTGACAATCTTATTAATATATATAGACTCACGAAAAGTTTAAAAAGTGATATCTTTATTCTTTATCAAATTTTAAAGTAACCTCTCCTTTATAAAAATTGTTCTAGGTAAATTAATGTATGTCGCTTTTTATGAAATCAAATGTGCAAGTAAATAATCAAATATAATACTCGCATTCCTGCACATAGCATCGAACACAATCACTAAATCGTGGACACAGCATGGATGAGCATCAAAAAATAGATATTACCGACATAATCGTGAACATTGGCTACGTAATTCACTGTTCAGTGTCCACGTTTTATTGACACAGAGGCGCTACAAGTGGTCGCGAATGTTTGCTTGTGGTCGGGTGTTTTGCTTTGGATGCCGCCAAATTTTGCTTCATCTTGATCTCATTCCGGAGAAAGGAGGCTATTTCATTTTGCACGGAGACTTGTCAGCTTATGTGTATCGCTTAGCAATTACGTTGGACTAACGTGTTTTCAAAATGACATGTATGTACGCATAACTGTGTTCCTAACCTATAACCTACACGAGGTTGAATGCGCTTCGGATAAGTCTCATTTTTTCGTGGTCACATGTCTTGTTGCATTTTCCATATATATTTTAAATAAAACAATTTTATATTTTTAGATTCTCTTTTTAGCAGAAAAAAATAGAAATGAAAAATGTGCAATAAGTCTTAGAATGTGCAACAAATAAAACTGTGTCATGCAGAGTTTAGAAAATTCCTTTGTTATATTTTAGTTCTGTCATATTTTATTTTATGTCATCCTTTTTATTCTAGTGATCGAGATAAGGAATTGGACACCAGAGTATTACGTCGTAAATCAGTCGAACTGTGAACAGATTCTAAAAGGTCCAGATACACTAATGGATATACCTTTATTGAATAACGCTCAACGCTGCATGATATTAAAGACAAAGAATTGGTCAGATTTTGAGGGATGATTTAGGATATATACAATCCTGAGTATTATTTTAAGCAGAGGTGAAAAACACAAACACTTGGGAGTGACGTTAGATGTGGAATGTACACAGATGCAGCTTGTTGCCTGGTAAATTATCTCTAAAATTTGTCACATTTGACTTTTATTTATTTTTAGAGCTATTTTATGTGACTGTAGAAATGTTGTGTGTTATCCCTGCTTCCTTATGAGTAGTGGATGTTGAGTAGAGCCAGAGATTAAAAATAATAGCAGTTCAGGTGTGAGATACTTTGAGACTAGCATATCTCATGTACAATACTGCATTATGCATTATCGTTGAGACGTAAGATCTAACAAGTGTTTTATGTAACATTTACTAACTTTTACTTTTGGATACAGCCACACGAGGAAATTTTGATGTACTCCAAGAAGAATAAAAATGCCGAGAGACAAACTTATATTGTGATCTCTGTATCTGAACGAAATGACTGAGCAAGGGAAAGGAATACGAGTACACGGACACCTGATATGATCAACATGCAGTAACAATGTCAACAAAAGGAGCCTGGATGATGACAACTTAGAGGAAATGGATTATTTGGAACCAGTTACAAAAAAAGAGAGAAAATCTCGGCGGGTAACAATGATGCAAATATACGAGCAAGAAGCTTGTAGATTTGAAGACTAGTTAAGAGGAGCTCGTTGCTTAAAAAAAAAATCTTTTATCCAATATATTTCAATACATACATCCTCAAAAATTAATAAACTTATTCGCGCAGAAATAAATTTTTCCATGCTTCAATAATTATATGTTTGTTCCTACACTTGAATAGCCTGTTGTAAATCATTTATGTCCGAAAATTAGAAAATAGCAAAATCTATTGTTAGTCATATACTGTACTCAAAATATTAGAGTACAAAAAAATCATCCTTATAAATTTTGGGATAGTTTTCATGATTCGAACATAAATAATTTTTTACCTAGATTATTCGCTAATTTTTTCACATTTACTTGCTCCTTTTGATACTATCGAAGTAAAGTTATGTAAGAAACGTTTAGAACTTGTAAGTACAGTAAAGTCTGCATGGCAAAATCTTGGAAGTTACATATGTTTGGAAATATTTTGTATTTTACTTATAACACTTGCTCTTTTACTACATTTATTTTCTTCAACTGTTTTTCTTCTCTCCGATGTCTGAACACATTCTTATCTTTTATATGCTGCAGTTAGAAACCATATTCCTGTGTCATCCTATGCACGCGTGTGCCCCGTTTCGTCGAGGACTCTCTCAACGGCGCTCATGTCTGTAGCTCTGTTGAGCTTTTTTTCACGTTCCCTCTTGACCCGCTCCACGTTTCTTTCTGGTGGCTTGAGTGTCCTCTTGGAAAGTGCGACTTCTCTCGCTCTTGGAATGTGCCTATATAACCGACGATCGGCGGTCTTTCTGGGGAGACCAGATAATCTGTAACGATGACAATAATACATCAATTTTTTTTGTAATCTGATTAACTCTCTGTTTTGAGCCTCAACTTTTCAATTAATATTATAACTAGAATATATTTTTTTTACGAAAACTTTTCAAGAAAATATTATCTATATATCAAGTTTTGGAATGAATTTGTTAATTTTTATTAACTATATCTATTTGTATATTTTCTTTTTGACTTTATACTTTTTATTTTAATACTTAGAAATAAACGATTAATAATTGTATTTGAAATAACACGATGTTATTGTTATTGCATTGTTAGATTAAATAACAAGAGATAGGAATACCGTAGGTCCTTCTGCCTTTGACCGTGATCGATTTCAGTATCCACATTGTCTGCTCTCGCTCAGGATAGAAGACTTCTAGGATCTGTCCGTTCGGCCTGAGCCCTCATCGCGTCCCGTTGCATTCTCAGCTTCATTTGCGCCTCATGCATTTGCACTCCTTCGCACCGGCTTCCACGGCTCTCATGAAGGATAGGCCAAATCTGCTGCTGAAGCCAGGAATGTATCTTGCGGTGAAACGGAACAAATGTCAAATATAAATCTTCGTGGATGAATGCATCGTATAAGATATAAGAAGCGTCAAATCTAAATTGAAATCTATTAATATCAAGATGAGAAAAAATACATTTCTTATAAATGTTGTTTTGAAAATTATTCTTGCTAATTAATATAAATAATATAATCAATTATAAAATATCAAAATGTGAATTTTATCATGTATTACATAATTTCTTATACATATAGCTTTTGTACAAATTAATATTATTAACAGCTTTTTATAGAGAGATTAATTTTATTAATCTCTCTATTAGAGAGTATTATCAAAGTATTACCAAGTAATTACAACGTTGTTAATTCTAGCAAAATTAATAAAAGAAAAATTCGAAATATAAATAACTTTTTACTTTAATAAATAAAGAAAATGAAAATTTTTTAAATCCACCATACTATATTACAATTTAATCGATTGCTATTTTATATTAATAGTAAATATTACACGCGAAATAATAATGCTATTATTTTATTACAGTAATTATTTCTGTAATTGTGTATCTTTTTAGACTCGATCATACAATTCTCAAAGTGCGTCGCGTTTTGAATTTTCCGAATCAAATTTATTTGTCTATTTCAGGCAATCGAGAGCACTACTTAAATCGCCAAATGAAATGACATAACAAAAGCAATCGATTAAATGATTAAAAGATTTGACGTATCGGCTATTTGTTAATTAATATACACATTTATTAATAACACGCGGGATTTACACGTTCAATATTGCCTCTCGATCTTCAAGCGGTCTCAAGTGCAATTGACTCGCGACGTGCCGCGCCATCGTGGTGAAGTCGCCGGAAACACTTTCAAAAATTTCAGTCTTTGCAGTTTGCGGGGGGTCGCGGACGCGTCGGATGTGGGATGGATCGGCCGCGAATTGTGTAGCGTCGCGACGCGTTTATTTTGGCGAGTACGACCGCGCTCGTTGCCACCATGGCACCGCTCCGACTTGCCGGAGTCGCCGGTCAATCAAGTTCATCAGTTCGATCGATGGAATCTCGCGAGGCACGCGTCCCGATCAGCCGACAACGTATGTCGCGTACGCCGATTTTACGCCGCGCGATCATTGATAAAGACCGTGGATTAGTCGCGACAATACGGATTACGGACCATTCACAGAAAAATATCACGATCGCTCGACGCTCCCGAAATCGCAGGTACGCTCGCTTTCCGCCTGAAATGGCCGCTCACTTCGCAAATGATGCGGAAAAACGCGGAAATCATAATATTCATAATCCCCGTCCGCGGGACGCGCGCGCCTAAATTTACGCCATTTGCCGCGGGCGGCGCGACGCCACAACCTGTTGACATTAGACCGCCGTACGTACGCTTCCTAGAACGATTACCGTCCCCCGCCGGAATCGCCGGTCGATCAATTCGATCGAAGGAATCTCGCCGAGGCACGCGACCACGCGTCTCGATCCGTCACGTATGTACTCCGATTATACGCCGCGCGGTTGACAAGGACCGGATTAATCGCGACAATACGACGGATTATACACCGTTCACAAAAATATATATCACGATCGTCTGACGCTCCGCGCGGCATTCCCGAAATCAGGCACGCTCGCTTTCCGCCTGAAATAGCGCGGATCTTATTGCGATACATATAATTATAATGAGCACACGAATGGGGATTCGTGCGTACGTCGTGTAAATATACGTACGAATGTAAATATACGAGCTACAATAGACGAATATCCGAGGTGCACGCGGTACGCGAAAATATATATGCATCTTTTCGCGTACCAGCGTCCCTCGGATATTCATCTTAATTGTAGCTCTCGTATATTTATACTCTTATACATGAATTCGTTCGTGCGCTCATTACAAAGTATCGCAATAATAAGATCGCTGCAACAGGGGAAGGGGGACGGGGGGCCGCGGTAATCGTTCTAGAAATCGTTACGTGCCCTAGTGTCAACAGGTGTGGCGTCGCGTTGCCGTGGCGAATGGCGTGAATTTCGGCGCGCGTCCCGCGATCGGATCGTAATTTCCGCGTCGTTTTTCCGCGTCGTACGTGAATTAGTGAGCCATATTTCAGGCGGAAAGCGCGCGTGTCTGATTTCGAGAGTGCCGGCCGTGCAGAGTGTCGGGCGATCGTGATATTTTTTCTCTGAACGGTGCCGTGATTCGTCGCGAGTGAGTGTTGTGCTAAAGTGTGTGTTGTGCAAAAAAAATGGATTAACAACAAGAGAGGAGGAGGAGGCCCGGGGAGGCATCAGGCAACGGGCGGAGCAACCGTGGGTAAGCACGATTTAATTGTGGCTCGCTTAAAAAGCTTGCTATTTCATAAAATGTTATTTTTTGAATGTTATTTTATATAAAGAATATATTTGTATTTTTTTACAGATGTGTGTTGTGCAAAAAAATGGATTAACAACAAGAGACGAGGAGGAGGCCCGGGGAGGCATCAGGCAACGGGCGGAGCAACCGTGGGTAAGCACTATTTAATTGTGTGCTTAAAAAGTTTGCTATTTCATAAAATGTTATTTTTTGAATGTTATTTTATATAAAGAATATATTTGTATTTTTTTACAGATTATTATTGAATCTCCGCTGCTGCGCATCGTACTGGTGAGCGAATTGTTACTTTGCTTTTACATATTCTAAAAGCTTGACTTGAGAACTCTTTTGTATTAATATTCTTTTTTATTAATAGTCTATAGCTATATTGATATCTGAAATTTTGACAATTTTTTCAATTTTACTTGCGATTGAAAGGATATTTGAAAAGATTCTGATATCTCTTGTAGTCTTACCGGTATATATCCTAGAATGTACGGCGGCGTCTTGTACGATACAGCTTCGTTATATTCCAATCTCCTCTGATCTCTTTATCCTGAAGAGTTGGTAACTCCGCTTCTCTACTGGAACTTGATACTACCTTTATGCTCCAGTTTTAAGAATTTTCTTTTCTAATAATTCCTACGACAGTACAGAATGTAAAATTAAACTTTCGAGTGCATAATTTAATTATCCATAATATTTTACGATACACAATCTCAAGTTCAGGTTTTTTTTATAAATAACTGCATATCTCATTTTTTTGACAGCTTAATTTTTTTAATAGCTTAAGTCTTTTAATATCTTTTCGTTTATTACCTTCATTATTTCTTCCGTATTCGCTGATCCGAATCTCTTTTCAACGCGAAATTTGAGGGTGGGACAATGACCTGTGTACCTAAAGGTACATACGTACATACACACAGCTTGTATTATATTAAGGTAGCACGAAATGAGTTTTGAAAGATGATAAATTTAGATATATACCTAATGATAACTCCGTTCCTCAAAACTCAAAGAAATCGAGTTTTTCATAAAATAAGCGACCGGCGATATATTGACATGGTACGTTGTTTCACAACAGCGTGACAAGTCAATTGTACATATGATATTTAATGCAAGATTTTTCGATCAGTTTACAGTCTATACTTTTCCATGATCAAAATATGCTAAGGAAATATACTGAACGACACAGTAGCGTGCAAAATTATGATCTATTACACGGACATGTTATAAGCGTTTTTATGCCTACTGAACCGTATCTAATTCCTTAGATATCTTGCGCGATATATGCACGGGACGAGGAAGACTCTTCTTCATTAGATCTATACTCGTAGTCACATATATTGCTATCTACCGCGATTGGTGTAGGATACCAATGAAGTATGCATAATCCGGAGGAAAAAATGCGGACTCGCACGCAAGGTCTACTTGTGTAACTTCTGTATTAAGTACAATTAGCATACCGTGAATAAATAATTAATTAAATAGAGCACACTTTTAATTCGAAGAATCGCGAGGCCGATCGATAAATCTGTGATTAAAATGAAGCGCGGACTGTATAGATAGTTATGGAATAATACAATATATCGTTTAAAAGAATGAAACTAATTCTCGGAAATAATTTTACGAATTGAACCTCTTATGATGGTATTTGGATTTCTATCTATAATAACACTTCTATAAACACTCTTCAACAAGAAGTAGATTTTACTAAAAACGTTTGCTAAAATTTACTAAATATCCATAATCTGAAAGAGGACATAATTTTCGAATGCACAATTTTTTCATGAGTAAAGCCCCAGTACCGCGATTAGTTGCTGAGTAAGAAAAGCTGCGCTGATGTTATCGACAATCGTCGTTAAGCGTTTGAGAACGCCCGGTACAGGTGGCATTAGTGACCCGGCATTTCGAGGTAACAGGCAAAAGACCCGTCGTGTGCCTCTGCCAGGAGGTTTCTCTTTGGGAACGATAAGGAATCTGTGTTGGCGCTGCAGTGAGAAGTCACGTTTGTCCGAAATATCGAGTTATCTATCCTTCTTTCACATACTTGACGGACGAGGTGTCGTGTGTTTGAGGTCTTTCGTACCTCAATTAAAGAGTTTTATCGAACGAATTATACGGTAAATATCAAAATAAATCATTTTATTTTCAAGAAAACGACTTGATGTTGATGTGTAACGAAATATCTAAAGATGTTACGTGTGCTTTAACCATAAAACTGTAAGAGACTCTGCCCTAACCTCACTTATCGCGTAATTCTTGTGATAACTTTCGTAATTGTCTTTTAGCAAGATGTACATATAAATGTACATACATCCTTGTGTAATACATTAAGCGAAATTTATTTTAATTGAATAGCTAAAATATAAGTTTAGTTCTTTTTTAAATTATTCTCGAGATTGATATAAACTGATTGCTTAAACAACTATTGGCATAATAATATGCAATGAACTAAAAATATCTTCAATATCACGTAATTCCTTTATCTTTAGTCTGTTTCGTCAAAGTTCTATTAATCTGTGAATTGTCTAAATTACATTCTTTTAAGTAACTTCCTTGTTTCTTATACAATTACCACAGATAAAATAATGGAAGAATATGCAAGAGAACCATGCCCTTGGCGGATAGTCGACGATTGCGGCGGTGCCTTTACAATGGGTGTCATAGGCGGGGCAATCTTTCAAAGCATCAAAGGCTTCCGCAATGCGCCAAGTGGTTGGAGGCAGCGTTTCACAGGCAGTGTTGTAGCGATTAGGCAGCGAGCACCTATCATCGCTGGAAATTTTGCTGTATGGGGCGGAATGTTTTCCACAATTGATTGCACGTTAGTCCACTTTAGAGGAGGAAAGGAAGATCCTTATAATTCTATCATCAGCGGCGCGGCAACTGGTGGAATTTTAGCGGCGAGAAACGGCTTACCAGCGATGGTAGGCAGTGCAATCATTGGCGGAGTGCTGTTGGCACTGATAGAAGGTGTAGGAATTTGTTTCACGCGTCTCTCTGCTGAACAGTTCAAACCACCGTCGCTGGTTGAAGATCCATCGCAATTTAGTCCACCGCCGCAAGGCTATCCGTCATAATGTTCGATAAAATTCTTTAGATTTATTTCAAGTTAGAACAAAATGTTCAAGTAACGATGTTCAACAATCTGTGCATCAGAGTATCGCTTGAACATCTCCTTTTGCCAATGTTAAATTTATATGCAGCATGGAAGTCTTAGACTTAAGATTGAATAACATTTTATGCTGTTTTCTTACTTATTGCTGTATTTCTTTGAACCCTTTAATTAGAATACCAAACACAATATTTTGTAAGTATAAATCCTGTAAATACATATAAAATATAAGTAATAAAAATAAATGCACAGACAACATGTAATGTTATAGTGAATTTTATTACGAAATATTTTATAAATTTATATATAATTTGTATACTCTAAAGATTTGGCATTAAGAGATGTTATATTAATTATTAGCATAGTCTAATCACAGTAAATTAAATAAAGCTTTTCTATCATTTATTTATATTACATCAAAGGACAATATCGTCATCTTCAGTTTCTTCTTCACAATTATTTAGCGATGTTGCTACAGATAAATCTAACTGTTCTGTTAGATTTTTTGGATCATCTCGCTCTGTTTTAACACGCTTGTTTTTTGTTGATGTATCTGGAAGTATTTCTCGTACAGAATATGAGCCAAGTAGAGTGTTTCTTAAATGTAATCGTTCAACCTACAAAATTAATATATTTTTATAAAATAATATAATAATATTAAAAGGAATGAAGGAAAATCGGGACGAAAAGATCTGGAATACAATATTATAATATGAAATCATATCGTTTTGCGGCCATAATTTTTCTTTGCTACTTTTGAATGCGAATAATCCGTACAATATGATGTAATTAGAGCACAACCAATGTCGTATCTTATAGTTCAGAAACGGAAAGATAGATGTGTCCTGTATATACATATATCACTAAGAATTGATGCAACTTTTGCTATTATATTTTTTTTTATAAAATTAAATCATTTGTGGCTTATTATGTGTGAGTATCAGTATTGTTTAATATTGAAATTTTTACCTGTAAAGCAAGTATTTGTTTTTCAATCTTAGCTAGTACATCAGTCAGAAATTCCTTCTGGTTCATTAACCGCTCGCGATATTGCGCCATTTCAGGCGGAGGAATTCGTGCTTCCTTACTCATTGTTAGATTTCTCTGTTTTTTTTTCACTTTTAACACATCACGTTACTCGTCGGTGCCTCCGGGTGCCTTGTTAGTTGTTGTTTGGCACAATGGTTATGGACGTTATGGTTAGTGGTTACATCAATCTGGAGCGAACTAGAGTCACTATATTTGTGGAGTATCGCTTCGAAGTTGTGCGCACGCGCGCGCGCGCGCGAGAGAGAGAGAGAGAGAGTGCGTTCAGAAAATGTAAATTTTATAGTCGAAATATCACTCTTGATTGATAAATATTTTTAAATCTAGCAATTTAGGAACATTTTCCGAAAGTTGATCATTTTATCAGTGTGTTTACGGAACATAGGTCTTGATGTTAACAATGTTACAACGTACTTATATTCCCTCTTGCCCTTACATTTGCGATCTATATTTTTGCCAGAGGTGATCTTGATGGCCGCTCTTAGGCTTCTTTCTGCTAGAGACTCTACTCTCTACTGTAAGTAGACGCCATCTACAATATGTCTTGTTGTAACATCCAACATGAAGAGAGACAGGAAGAGAGGAGTCGGTAATATATTTTATGAAATCTAGCTATTTTTATATCAAATAAAAAAAAAATTAAGATAATATAAAAATCTCTATCTTTATCGTACCAAATGCGTAAATACGCAATATAAACTATAATATAGAAAAATGTATGTATTTCGAGAAAATTTCGTAAAGCAAGAAATTAATAAATTATTATAACAGAGGGATATATAAATATATAAGAATAGCGCTAGTTAGTACAATAATATTTTATTCTTTCTACAGAAGTCTACATGGTATTATAGACTAATGACATTTTATTGTAGTAGGAATGTCTTTATAGGTACGGAGCATTTAAATGGACCATGTAATTCACATAAACATGTACGATTATGTTGATTTGTATACGTTAAACGTGCGAATTTTTAACTCACTTGACAGTTCAGTTGCAATCGCAAGCTGTTATTTTCATAAATTTGTCGATAAAAAGTTTGAAACTTATTAACATCTCGTTCTTGATATTAATCTTAATAAATTTCAGTTTATATACGGATTTATATGTATTGTGATTAATTTTATTGGCCCATAGAGAGTTTGCGTAGAATATATATTATTTACATATAAATACATGCACGCTGTTGGGCGAGAATTCGCGTAAAAATAAACTACTAGTGCAGTGAAAACACTATTGAAATGTTGTAGTGTTACTGTTTATATGAGTAGTGCTACTACTACATTTCAGTAGTGTTTTTACTGCACTAGTAGTTTATTTTTACGCATAGACCTATTAATTATTAGATAATTACTCGTAAAATTTTGTAATTATCAAGAATGATTTCTGTCTAATATTGTTATCACGTGTTGAGATAAATGTTATATAGAAATTAGATCCGTTTGACGCTTAAAGGATTGACTGAGACTTCAGTTCTCGAATAATAAATAAAATAATCGTAACTTAAATTGTTTACTTATAAAGCTTTCTTTCGCATTGAAAATGAAATTGATACAAATATGTCTTGTATTATGATTCTAATAACGATATACTTTACAAATATTTTAACATTTAATTCATTTTGCAATTTTTAAGATTATTGTTATTATTTCACAGTAAGATAAAATTAACTCTTCCAGTATTAAATTGAATACATAGATGTCTTAAATTATATTTTTATTATATTTGATTCTTAGTTTATATAATTAAAAAAAACACTTGAGTTTATATAATTAAAAAAAACATCTATTTCATTAATTTAAATATATGTGCACTTGTGTGTGTAATTGCAGTATTCAATTGATTATATTCATACATATGGTTTGATATAAATTTTTTATACGTACAATTTAAATTGATATTAAAAGAAATGAAATATAACATGATTTTTTGAAGGAAATGATTAAACAGTGCAATTTATTGATAGGGTACTGGAAGGGTTAAGAAATAAATACAGATGACAGAATTCAATTGCTATCATCTTACTTTTAACACGTAAACGTGACATAGTTTATTATTTATTATTTTATTCATTTAGCTGAATTAGAAATTCATTTACAATTGTACAGTGAATTAAAACTTCGTACAGTCGAGAAAATAGAAAAAATTAAATTATTGATAAAATATTTAGAAATAGTTTAAATTTAGAATTTAAACGTTATATTTATTAACGTAAACGTCGGAAGAATAATATTTCAAAAAAATTTCTAAAGAAATTAATTAGAAACGTATAAACGATTCGCGCGATTATCAGCATTTACATTTACACATCTATATCGCTATATGAACTGAGGTACATGGTAACCTTGAGGAGGATGTGGATTGTGTGGAAAGATTGAATTTAAACTTACACAATTTTACAAGACGTATTGGGAACTAAGATATAACGTATATAAATAATACGTAAAATAAATAATACGCGAAATTAATGTACAATTTATTATCTTTAATGCACTAATTAAAAGGAATGAAGGAAAAATCGGGACGAAAAAATCCGGAATACATTATAATATGAAATCATGTTGATATCGTTTTGTGGCCATAATTTTTCTTTGCCACTTCTGAATGCGAATGATCCGTACAATATGATGGAATTAGAGCACAATCAATGTCATATTCTATAGTTTAGAAACGGGAAGATACATAGATGTGTCCCGTATATACATATATCACATACCTCTACTTTCAGGATACAGAATGACATTACTTGTCTTAACTCCTTCGCCATATTACATTCTCATGATGCAGCCTGAAATAGTGAATTAGAAAATGACTCATGGCTGCAGTAATTGTATGATTCTTATTAAACACCTAGCTCCGATCGAGTCTACCGAGCTCTACCAATTATCGAATCATAGACCATAGTGCCGTTCGTTACTGCAGCAAAAGTCGCGTCAATCCTTAGAAGATGGAGGTGATTCCCTACTGTTGTCACTGGGGAAGCTAGACAAACCGAGACCGCCGATTTCGTGACTGGACGAGCCCGTCGGGGAGTTACTGCTGCTCCTGGCACCGCTCAGAGGCGTCACGTTCGTGCTATCCGCCGGTATTAGACCCTCCTTCATACGCTTCTTTTGCTTCATCCGTCTATTCTGAAACCAGATCTTCACCTGCGTTTCGTTAAGCTGCAGCGCGGAAGCGATCTCGATGCGCCTCGCTCGTGTCAGGTACTTGTTGAAGTGAAACTCTTTCTCCAGTTCGGTGAGCTGTTTATTCGTGAAGTTCGTGCGGCCTGTATTGTTGAAACTACCAGCGATACCGGCCAACGAGCCGGCGATGCAGCTCACCGTTCCACTAGCGGTGCTTCCGTACACGGACGAGCTTGAGGCTGCCACTGCGCTGCCTCCGAACTCGATTACGTTAGGATTTGCTTTTGTCGCTGAAACAAATTCGTTGTTTTTGCTATAAATAGGACGTCTACGCAAACTAATTATGTATACATATGTACATTAAATATTATTAAATTAGTTGGCTAAATTTTGTTTACATATTTCTTATTGTTAATCAATTTATAATCATTTTTTCTGGAAATTAAACGATAGAAAATTAAATATTTTCTGTGAAACGAATGTTAATTTAGTGATAGATAATGTTCTTATTTTCGTTTAATTTAAATTCTTCTGTTAGAGTGTAATCTAAAATTTAGCCAAAATATTCATAAAGAGATTTTCATCGGTCAGATATCTAATAAGTGAAAACTTATTTGAAATACTTATTTGCAATTTGTTTGCAAATTTTAGATAATTAACATTTAAAATATAGAATTTTTAATATAATAATTGATAAATACGACAACAAATGTATAATATTGTCATTAAACAAAAATGATCGTTCTATTTCTAATTTGGATGTAGCGTTCTGAGTATAATAGAAAACGTAACAGACGCGGACGCAATATGTGTCGAATCGAGATCAAGTCAAATCCTTTAAGTGACAGTCGTTTGCTGGCCATAACAGCTGGTCACTATCCGGGAGCAGTTTTAGGGAGATGACCTGTGCAAAGATGAAAGAACGGTAGGGTTGAGCCCTAAATCTGGATCAAATTGCATCAGCTGTAGAACAAACATCCGTTTACGTCGTTACGTGAAATTTTTGATTTTTCTGCTCTACCGATGCTCCAGATACGATTACTATAATATTCGGTATTATCTTGTAATGATAGTCAAGTTTTTTGGTACGATAGATAATGCAATTAAAATATTGAAGGGCTAAAGTGACGGGCTTCGACAGAAGGATGAGGATACATTATGAAAATTAGATTGTTATTTAGACTACGGTATGTAGCAGTCAATTTACTTAATAGCAGGGGGTGGACAAAACTGTCAAGCCACCGCCTTAAAGTCACGTCTTCCCTATTATGTACATTTTCCTTCAATGTCTCCAGCTTGGTCCTTCGGCATTTTTATAATACATTTTTGTTTGATCTACTTTCTGGGAAGTTATAATATTCTGACGTACTTAATGCATCAGCAAAAATCACTTTATACGTATCGTATATACTATCAGATATTTATATTTATAAATGACTTTTGTGAATTTTCTAATATAACCGAAAAGATCAGTCACTTATACCGAGGCCCTGAATTTAGCTTGTGGCCATTAAGCTTACGCTTTTCCAAGCCGAATAATAAACTTGGACAAGTTCTATTAGGCGTGCCAGTGCCAGATACAATGAAATGTTTCTCGTTTCCGCGACTCATTCATCAATTTAGCACTTTAACGGAGGACCGACTACGGTGCCGTTGATTTTCTATACGAATCTCCTTTGGCAGCAACGAAGGCGTTGTTTATCCAGACAATGCAGAAGAAGAGTCTTTAAATTTTGGTAAATTATAAATATATGCAGGAAAGTAAATATAAATAAAAAAGAGAGAGATAGGGGGGAGACTTATATCTTTAATAAATAAATGATCGGAAAATATACGGAGAGAATTTCCTTTTAAAATTTGCCTTGAAAATTTTGTTAATCGTGGAACAATATTATATTAGTATTTCGATAAATTTTACTATGCACTGCAATAAACTTGTTGTAGTATATGTTAAAAAAAGTGAAAATCATATAAAATTTATCGAAATACTATGTTATCCTACGATTAACACGATTTTCAGGATAAATTTTAAAATAAAATTCTCTCCATGTAGGAAAAGGATTTACTGTAGATTTACTGTATCTTACTGTATTTCAAAATAAATACGATGATTGAATCTTCGTTACCATAAAGTATTATCGACAAGTTACGCTCGTGTATGTTATGCAGAAAATATATCGCGAGCATGTATCGAATATTCTTATATCATTACCTTAAGTTCAACGCTATATTGCATGTAGAAATTAATAGTCGCAATCTTTAATGCTGACAAGCGTTTGCTTCTTCGTGAATAAATGTGATATCGGTAAAGTAAGGAAGAGAAAAGGGTTGACATGAAGAAGGGATTCTTAATAACGCTGAGTCAAGAGAGGTACATTGACACTTTGACAATAAGACTTATGGGCGCACTCTCAGAGTCGCATTTTACGATATTTACGATTATATTGTTACTGTCGGTTATTCTTACGTCTGTGTGTGCAGTCACACAAAGAGTTCAATCGTGCAATTATGATGCGGATCGCTTGGATAGACTTTTCAAAACGGATTTTTATTATGTAAGAAATAATTTTTTTAATATTAGACGTAATCTAAATGTCACAACAAACGTAGTAAAATAGAATTTTATGCATGATAACATCTGTGAAATGTCCTTTCGGTAAGCCGTAACAGATCGTTGTCTTTTAAACTGCGGATGGTTAAATTATCACAAGATACGATGCTGGTATTTATTTAGGAACTCGGGTGACTGGCGTTGATGCGTATAATCCAGACATTATGTACAAATCAAATACAGCTGGATCCTAAATATCGGTACATCAGGATGTCAGTAAAAAAAGTCGCTACGAGGTTACGGTTAAAAAATGATTTATAAATAGTTGTTTCCATTTCGCAGTTATTTTCGTTTGTCAGATATGCGTCTCCTAAATTTAGAAAATTCTGTGAATTATAGGAAAAGCACCAGAAGTGCCCGTATCTCTGTCCTCTCTGTAATATAATACACAAGCATCTTGTATTCTCCTGTGTTTACCATCACCTTTCCTTACGTCATACCGACCCTACAGCTTTTAGCCTTTGAATAATATTTGAATTGCGTAATGTTCCTTGAAGGGGAGACTATCGACGCATAAGTGCAGATGATCCCGTGCGATCAAGGGATCGACTTCCAATAAGTAGCTGTCATTTTTTAAAACTGTGAAGTCGAAAAACTCATGTATCCTCGTATACGTGTTCACGTAAAAATCATGCGACTACACGGAGAGAATTTTCTTTTAAAATTTACCCTAAAAATTTTTGTTAATCGTGGGACAACATAGTATTTCGACAAATTTTACTGTACACTACAATAAATTTTACTGTGCACTACAATAAATTTGTTGTAGTATATATATTTCAAAAAATAGTGAAAATCATATAAAATTCGTCGAAATACTTATATGTTGTCCTACGATTAACATAATTTTCAGAATAAATTTTAAAATAAAATTCTCTTCGTGTAGTTAAAATTGTATTCTAATTTTGTCTATAATTATTTGTCGAGAATTTAGAAAAGTATATGAAATTTTCCAAGCCACCTGACCGGTCCAAAATTTTTCTCAGAGATAATATACACTTAGCCGCAGGTTTATCGCAAGAACTGACAAAACGATTTCGTCGGCACGGTTCCTTCCATTCGCAACCCCCTGTCAGTCATGCCCCGACGGCCGCGTTGATTTCAGCATTATGATAGGTAATATCCTGAGTCACAGTCGCGTACGAAAAGGCAATGTTGTGTATCATAACGGCGTACGTGTGGAAGGGCTGCGTGCAGCACATTCGACATTCACACTCCGGGTTCCCCTGCGTTTACGCTCGCGTGTGTGGGTGTGCGTTCATGAGTATGCCCGAAGCATTTCCCGGCGAAATTAGGCTCAGCACGACACCTCATGAGAGTTGTTGATAAGTTTCGCGCGCTTTCTTTGCCACAACCCGCCCCGAGCTGTGCACAGGTGCTGTTGTTTTGGGGGTGAAAAACTTATGTGAAATTCTTTATTTAAATCGCAATTTTGATTCAATAAATTTTAAAATCTTACCATTATCCACTTATCATTGTAAATTAGTCGCAAAACTTGATCAGTTCATTCTTTAAAAATTTAAATTTTGTTGAAGCTATTATTCGGAATTAGTTAGAAGCTATTATTAATCTCAATTTTCCTACGAAATGACACGTATATTATTAAATTCAACCGAAAATCATTAATAACGCAACGCATGAAGAAGAGTTCATAACAGCATTGAGCTCATAATAGCACCCTGCTTGTGGCTAAAAGTAACGTGTAAATACCGTCTATGGCAATTGAGCCGCGTGAAGGAAGATTACACGGCCAGCCGTCGGCGATGCAGCGCGGAAATGAAAATCACCGTGAGGCGAGACACGTGGACAGCGTCGGCGGCGGTTGTCGGAGTCCGGTCGAGCGGATCTGTCGGGCCGCGCTCGGACAGGAGTAAGCGGTGGCAGCCAGCGCTGCCGGCGCGTTGAGAGGGTGGTAGAGGGGGGAGGGGGAGTCAGCCAGAGGAGGGTCAGTTGCTGCCAGGGTTGTGTTGCGGGATCCGGGGTTGCCGGGTTCGGCGGGTGGCAGCCCGGGTGGAAACACGCGAACGATCCTCTGATCCCCTCGCGAGATATCGGGCCACTCACTCACGCGTCCGCCGGCGACCCTTGCGGAGCGGCGCGCAACATGCCCAGCCAGTTGTTCGACTCTACCCACAATCTCTGCCTTCTCTCTCTCTTTCTCTCTCTCTCTATCTTTCTCTCCCCTGTTCGACTTTCCTTCCTTTTTCTTCTTTAATCGGGCATGTCCTCCTTCGTGTTTATCTCGCTTCCTTCCCCGTTTATCCTATGCCTCTCTCTATCTTTAGCCAACGTTCTTCGTGCTCTTTTTCTGTTTCTACTACGTATCTTTATTCCTCTGTCGTCTTTCCTTCACTTTCTCTTTCTATTCATATGTTTTATTCCCTTCGCTATCGTCCTCTTGGTCTCTCTCAAGTTCAGGGCTGGCGTGCACGTCTGGCGACGCCCCGTTTTGTGGTTTAAGTCCCGCGGGATAACTTGATCAGAGATTTTCTGGAGATTTTGCATTTAGCAAGTGTACTTATTGCGTCTGCTAGGATAATCCGGATCTTATTGGTCAGCAAATTATTGCGTTCGTGCGAAGCATAGTCACGAAGCATTTTTGTGCATCAATCGATAAGGTGGTACGTAGTACCTTATTTATGCACAAGTAATATGTTACAATATAGTTCGTTGCAGAAAAATCTCTCGTAAATAAAAAAAAGTTTATCGCGTATAAAAGAAACAATGTTTATACTTTCTACAGAGAATTTAATATTATAATATTCGTAAGAGTCCGATAAATTATTGCATAAAGTAACGTTAACAAATATATTTCTATTATATTTTGCTTAATTAAAACGTAATATGTTACAATCTAGTACGTTACAATTTCTTCTCATATTTATTTTTTATGTATTACATAATCACGAATGTGTTTGATTACATCTAAGCGCACGAAGAGAATGTAAGGCAGCCGACGAGCCGATGGTGAGTTTTAGTCTCGCCGTAACGCCACGGCCGCCCCTGTATATATTCGGTCAGGGCGTCGATAGCGACATGCATATTTTAAGTCAGCTTAAAAGGTGATAGTCTTCGAGGAAGCAGGGTAACACTGAACGTGGGAAGTAATCCATGAAGTGTGTTCGCGATAAATATTATTTATTTTATATTTGCTATGAGTAAGGATAGACATTAAGAAATGCCTATACCTGATTCTTCCTTATTTCATCATTTTTTTGCCTGCGGGAATATACAAGATATTAATTAATTTCTCAATTATAAAATGTTAAATACTTTATACGAACATAACAATAATTTATTATTGTCTCAAATATAAATTAATTATTTCTTACGTTTGACACACAGATTACACGATTTTAATTTTGGTCAACGAGAATTAAGTTTTAATGATTTCTTGTTATAAAATTTTTAACAAAGCACAATATTTGATAGACTCCTTCGAATCTATTTAAATCTAATGCTATTGTCGCGTAGTGATTTTCTGTAATATGTATGATGTATAATATGTTATAAAATAGTTCTGTCTACTTTATAGTCAACAAGATTATTAATATGCTTGTTAAGATTGAATATAAGATTATAACTGTGTGTCTAACGACAGTTGCTTGAGTCAACTTTTACTTGTTTTTATTATGCAGCATAAATCATAACATCTAGATATATAAAAGAAGATTAAGTTATAAAATCTAAACATTTAAATTTTTTATTGATAATATATAATATAGAAGATTATATTATAATGTTAAACATTATCTTACAAGTATCACGATATTTATATTTTTATATATTGCTGAGACATTACAACATGTCGATAAACCGAGGTTTTCAAATGAAACTCTCCATTTCTTACCATGACAAAGATATGGAATTATTACTGCTATGTTACGAGGGGACGTTCGTTTGTCTCGTTTTTCTCCGCGCGGTATTGCCAATCCCGCTATTGAGTATAGAGAGAAGAAATCGAGTTTAGTATGATAGATTGGGCGGGTTGACAGCATCACGACGGTCTTTCCGTCTCCTGTCTCGCTCCAATCTTGACTAAGGGTGGTCCGCACCGGGCGCGTCCCCATAGAGACCCTCTATTCTGGACCCTCTGAAGCATGTTATGGAAGCAGGGAAGGAAAAAGGAGCGCTATTGTAAGTCTTCGGCCAACCAAAAAAGTTAACCAACCAAAATCTAGCGAAATCGCCCCACTGCTCTGCTCCGCCCATCTCGTTACTTCCTTCGAATTCTTTTCTCGTTGTAACGTATTCGTTGCGTGCTACGTTTTCTCAACCGACTCTAAATGTAATTGCGTTCAATTAATTATATCACATTTAAAAATAATTTCCGTCCTTTCTAGTGATCATGCACGGTTATTATTGTGTATAATAATTTGATCATTTTATTTCTTATTATTTATTTAAATATTAGTTTTGTTATTTATCTTTTACAAGAATCTTCACAATATAATATTTTGTATTGAAATTTTTTCTTATATTATACATAGCCACGAAAAAGTTTACAAAATAAAATCCTAGAAACTTTTAATTGCATGTAATATAAATACTGCAAATATTTTATTGGCATAATCGTGATAAGAGATTTAGCAAAGAAAATTAAATTGTACAAAGTGCATTAAAAACATCAAGATGTAACAGCGGGAGTAAAAACGAGAGGGGTTAAACGAGGGTGACAAAGTTTCATTTCGGTTTGCATGCTTTGCTGCAATAAACGTCAGTCCCTTTAGTGCCTGCGATGGCGTTATTAATTCGATTATAATGAGCTATTAAGTGAAACGCTGGTAATTCCGACAAGCTCCATCCAACGACTAAGCTTACACTCACTCTCTGAGTTAGAAGATTGCGGGGAGCACCACGGCCGTTAAGCAAATTAGTGTGAAGTTAGGGGAACTATTCCGGCCTTTTTAGGCATTATTTTCAATGATCCGCGTTACGTAACTTTCACGATCATCAATTCAACATTAACACAATACATAGATATTTTTATGGTACAAGAGATATTGTCTCTGCTAATCGTGATATATTAACAATAAAAGTTATACGCGTATACATATATGTTATATATATTATATTATAAGTACATTATAATATTTAAATTACAATGTTAAATTCTTCATGGACATATTTATTGATCAATTTCGAATTGATTCATTTATAAGGAAATTATTCATTTATCAATCTTTTTTATATCATAAACAATTGAAACTGAAATATTTTTCATATATTAATTTAGAGTTTAATTTGTATTTATTTCATTTACTTATGTTATAGAATTATTAAATGTTTGTATAATCATATTTTCTAGACATATTTTATTTAAATAACGGGTGATTAGTTAAAAATATTAATTAAATTATCTATGGGGTAGTATTCAGTACAAAATGCATGATAAGAATATTGCAATAAACAAGGAAATATAAATAAGTATATTTTCCTCAATACATTAAGCAAGACATTGAGAAGTTTTATTCCAGAAGTTTATAAATATACTTATTCACAATAAATTCATTATCTTATCATTAGTAAGAATTAATCTGATAATTTCTCGAGTATAAGATGACTTTAATCACAAGTCCTAATCTATTAATGTTCTGTTAGACTACTGTATAGTAGTCTAACAGTATTGTATCTATTAGACAATATAAATCCAGTTATATGTTATATTTATTACATAAAGATTTTGATAAAGAATGCATATTTCCGGTATTTAAAAATATAGTTGCAACTAATCTTCTTATCGCAATATACATGAGTAACATCAATTTTAGAAAAATGTTTAATTACTAAAGATTTTAAAATCTTAAATTTACAATAAATTTAATTTAAATATCTTTATAAAAAAAATTTATTTTATTTTTTTTTTTAGAATATTAGATAAATAAATCTTAAACAAATATTTGATGCAGAAGGAGAAGACATTGCAAAATGTAATTACATAAAAGCATACTACTTTATTATTATGCCAGTTGTAGTTAAACTAAATATTTAAGTAAAAATATATTGATGTAGCTAGTTTAAAATGTATAATTTATATATAATGATAAACATATTTTGACTATCAATATGTTTATTAATATATATTTAGAATGTTTAGATTTATGGTAGTGATGAAAAAATATTCTTTAATGTCAATATTTTCTATTATCTGTTTCATGCATATAATCTTATCTATTGAGTTTTTATGACAATCTCATAGGCGTAAACGAAAATCAAATTGTAAGGTAAAGATATCACGTGTGCTGATAAATTTTTGTTACACACAAACATCTTGGAATTATTTATATTATTTAAAATCTGTGTATTAATTCGATTTCATGAATGATAATACAAGTCTATTATTATAAATTTACTATCCATTTATTATGATCATATTTACTATAAAACGATATTTTCTATATCAGTAATAAATTTAAATAAAAGATTTAAAAACCACCGAAACGATATTATAAGCTTAATTTATATTGATTTTAATAAATTGAATTTGCAATTAAAGACTAGTTAAAACTAAAGATTTAGGTAAACATTACCTGTTAAAGATAAGATAAAGGAAAATCAATAAGAAATACGGTAGCAAATTGCAGACTAATGACATTAAGGTCTCATAAGGCTAGTATTATTGGGTGGTGCGCGTATGATTAATGATTATGGCAAACCGAGATTACGTGTCGCACTTTATTAATTCTCATACATACAGATTGTTTGAAAGTCACTGACTTGGCGATTACGGAATAGCGCGTCACATTCTATCTTTGACAAACTGTCCACCTTGTTTGACAATCTTAATTGAAGACCATCTACGTAAAAATTGTTGATCTTCTATCAAATGTTACTTTACGAAGTAATACTTCAGTAATACTTTGAATTTGTGTGAAGTGTCTTTAACAAGACATAATTGGATCAATTGTAATCAATTGTGTTTTAAGAATTGAGGTTGTTTCGTTAGTAAGCAACGAATAAACATTTTCTATAAACTTTTACAAGAGTTCTTTTCAATATTAAAAAATAAATAACTTAAAATATTTTATGAAAATGTAGTCTTAATTGGATGTAAAATGCACGTTCACGATGATGAACACAAAATGTAATAAAGATTTAAGTGAACGATAATGCAAGAATAAATTACAATAATATATTTTCTCTTTAAAAGTTATAGATAAAAATTTATATTGATAATATTAATTACAACGAAAATATGATTTCTAATATTTATAATTTATCGCAGAAATAATTGATTAAATTAAATTACCATATACGACGATATAATTTTAAGAACGATGGCGCACTGTCCGCGGCAATGATAGCTTCTCAAATAACGGGGCCATGAAAGATAAGACAGCCATGATTCTGCATCTTCGTACACCAAGCTCTGAACAAGCAATCAAGCGATGAACGAGGTTTAACGAATGGCTACCGGATCGCGCCCACAGAATACCTAATTTCACGCTAGTTTGCTTGCTACACATAGGCGTCGACTCAACCGGAAATTTAAACCAAGTGTGGATAGTAGCTACTTACCGACTGGCTTGGGTACGTTTCTCTTGACCTGCATCCACTTGTATGTAGGTACTTGCGCCTGTTGCTGTTGCTGTTGCTGCTGCGAATGATGCGCATGCGAATGCTGCTGCTGCTGATGATGATGCCCATGTTGATGGGGATGTTGAAGATGACTGGATTGCTGTAAGATGTGATAGGTAGTTGCGTCCGAGTTCTCTTCTTTATAATGTCCCGACGGATGCGTGGAAAACTCGCTCTGCTGAAGCTGAGTCTGATAATGCAAAGATTCATCCGAGGAGGGTAGTTGATGAAGATAATTCGAGGTCCCGCCGACTGCTATTGGATAATCGGGTTCGTGGTGGTGATGATGATGATGATGGTGATGACTAGAGGATTGATGATGGAGTTGTTGATCGTGCTCCGTTCTTGGATGACTAGTTGGAGGTACCGTACTTTGATGAAGACTGCTACTGCCGGATGGATGATGGTGATGATGATGGTGATGAGGATCCTCTCTATAAGCAGGCTGTTGAACATGGTAACTTTGATGCGGATCCACCGAGGCTACTGCGTGTTGCTGTTGATTTTGATACGATGAGGACGATGCGTAATCAAGATTAGTATAGCTCAGACCATTTTCCGAGGAAATTATTGCCGTAGTGGAACCATTCTCGTGGAGAACGGCACCCGTTGGAGAGTAGAAGCCTTGAGGCGGCGTACTGGACGATGTGCCTGAATCGGCGGTTAGGAAACTCTCGGAAGACGATGAAGAATATGGCGCCACTGCAGTCTGGGGGTAGTAATGAGTTGGAGCTACCTCCGGGGAAGGAGGCACAGACACGTGACCACCGACGGATGAAGGCTGGTGATGGTGATGATGGTGATGATTTCCTTGACCCGAGAACACATAGTTAGGATATGAGTCAGGTTTGCCATAGGTTCCGTACATGCCCATGTCCATCATCATCATCCTCGTAACAGAGAGACGAATCAATTGACCACCCACTGTTTCGGCAACTCCGATGCGTACTGTCCAAGTGGAAACAAGAGAAATGATTTACATCATGGCTAAAATTGTGCACAGTTCTCTTAATTGATCACTTCAACATTGTATAGAAATTTACAATTTTTTAATTTTACACAAATGCCATAGAAGAATAAACATTTAAATTTGTCTCGTTAAACAAATTTATGATAAGCACAGAATTAATCAGTACTTGGCAAAATTGCGAATAAAAGTTTCGAATAAAACAATAACTGTCCACAGGCTGCACAAAATGTAATATCACAGATGCAACTAAATATTAAATCTTTAAATTGTCGCGCACTAAAATCACATAGAAAATATAATAGCTTTATGAAATTTTACGATAAACATCCAAGATTTAAATTTGAATTTGATACGCTCTGAAAGTGAGCAGTTAAAAGTCCTCCGAGAATAGGTAACAATGCCAATCCGCGAACACAACGAAACATTAACCGTCGTCGACAAAAATAATCCGTGCGGACACTCGTGCAGTCGATCCGTCCAACATGGGCCGTTGGAGTGGACTGGTGAGGTGGACTAGCGTAGCGGAAAGCTGCACACAGGTGAGACTGACCCGCAGTGGTCTGGCGTGTTTAAGTTTTCCTTCTCTCTCTTGCTTGGGCGTATCACCCAGACGTAGAGTGGAGGTATTGCGCTGTGTGAGGTTAGTTCCAAGGGGAGTCTCCATTATCGATAGGCGGTACTTAGATGTAGTCACGTGATGGAGATTGGGCGGTGCCAACCAATCGTGGACGAGTCTGCGCGCCCCGAGTCCACTGCCTCATGATGGATCACCAGTGTGAATTTTATTTTTCGTTCCTTCTTTTTATCTGGCACGCTGCAGTTGACACTTATCGTCGCGGGTAGGAGTCGGGTATTATATCTCGGTACCCACCTTCTATGCTATCCGGAGGCAAGCAACCTCCGCCCTTCTATCCCCTGGATAGGTTGTTTTGTGCCTTCTGCCTTTTTTCCTTCCTCGCTCTTGACGGGTCTTTCTATGTACTTGCGTGTCTTGCTCGCCTCTCGAGGTACCAAGGTACCAACATTCTGTGTTTTTATTATAACCTGACGGTTGATAGTTTAATTATAGTTGATCTTCTGTATAGATATCTGATGTAACCAATTTTATTAAATAACATTAAAATATTGAGAATCGAATTACTAGTTAGTGATTAAATTTTCAGCTATTTTATTATTTTCTAAGAATGAAGTGTTAATGAATGAAATAAAAATTGATATTCTATCTTAATGTGAAATAAATAAAGTACATCTCTACAGATTGCTTTCGTGTAGACTTGTAATGTCTAAAAAAAGTAAAGATAGATAATTTAATTTGGTGTAGCTGTGTCACGCTAATAAATAAGAAAGATATTTCGGTCACACAAAAAGGCGCGCGACGCACGAAACAATTTGTGACTCTTCAGACTGCTAGGATATTCATCATCCTCACGTCGTCGAAACCCTGACATGACAATACACTACTTCTAAAGGTATAACGAAGGACTAGGTCACATTCGACGCCACATCTCTGAAAAATTTTTTCAAAATTTATAAAGAATTTTTAATTTGAGTGTTTCTCTATTTGAAACGTCCTATTCTTATTTATAAAATAACAGCAATCTCTTGATTACATTTTATTATATATATATGTATTATACACGGAGAGAATTTTTTTTTAATTTACCCTGACAAATCATGTTAATTGTGGGACAATATAGTATTTAGGCAAATTTTACTGTGCACAATAAAATTTGCCTAAATACTATATTGTCCCACAATTAACATGATTTGCAGGGTACATAAAAAAAAAATTCTCTCCGTGTAGCATTACATTTTACTATATTATTCGTAATAATCTGCCTTCTATATAATGCGCGTTAGTAGTATACAATATCATTAACAGATTCTTTGATTTATTTAGAGTATATTTATTCTTAGAATTACTTTATAAAAAGATATCTTATATAATTTTAACTTTCAAATTCAGACTTTATTGTAATCTACTTCAAATTAAGAAACTATTATATTTCGTCTTTCTCAAGTTTAAGGGGACTATAAATTTTTTACGATTATACTGTTAAATTGTTTATTAAATGTAAAATTAAAAATACTTTTAATTAAAACAAAAGAATATGATTTAGTAATTGTATAATCTTGCATAATTATAAGAAATATTTCTCTGCACACAATATTTTTTTCTTAAATTTAATACGTCTATAAAGATTTCATTTTTCTGACAGTCTCTCTAGTATCCTTAAAGTTGAGAAAAACAAAATATTATAGTTTCTTAATTTGAAGTAGATTTCAATAAAGCCTGAATTTAAAAGTTAAAATTATAAGATATCTTTTTATAATGTAACTTTAGCAGGTTGTATCTTGTTTAAATAGCATTAAACTTTTATTAATTTTTTCTCTATTTTCTTATTATCAATTGTAAAAAAATAAGATTATGTAATAGTGTGTGATAATGTCTGTGTGCATAATGATGAGCGAATTAAACTGCACACTTTATTTTATATATACTGCACTTATTTTATGTACATCATTAATATTTGAAATTTAATGGATTCTTAAAAACTTGGAAACAAGAAATTTCTTTATATATAACATTTCTGTTAAGAATAAATAGATTCTAAATAAATCAAAGAATCTGTTAATATTGTATATTTACCTAACGCAATATAGGAGGTAGACTATTACGAATAATATACCTAATAAAATGTAATGTTATTAAGAGATTACTGTTGTTGTTAATAATTACGATATTATGTTAACTGTCGAAGGAACATTGTTCCAATTATTATTTAACGGATGAATCGTGAACATTTTTGGCAATAAGGGGAGAGAAAAGTGACAAGAGCTCGCTCGTCCGAAGGACGCGTGACGGCCCATGGGATATCTCTTACCCCATGCGAGAGCGCAGTGACAGGATGACACATTCCACCGTGAGAGTTTTAGAAGCATGGTCCCGTATCAGCAGTTCAGTCAGAAGAGCTTATATCGAGGGCGCCACCTGCGGCCACCCGCGACATCCGTCCTGTTCCGTACATCAGACCGGGGAATCTTCATCTTGATCGAGCCGCAGTGACGTTTGATAGTTCTGATTCTTGCTGTCGGCTAATCTTTTTCACTCGAACGCGCAGTTACATACTTTATCTTCATCGCAATACGTAAAATCCAAACTTTCGTACTTCGAGTTCGGATATCTCACTTTTGTACAGTTGAGATTATATTATATTGGTAGATATGAGATCTTCTAACACTGTTAAAATAAATCAACATCTTATGCTTAGGACAAATTTGTAAGAAATACATTGTGTATACATTATTTAATTATAATATTATTAGTACATGTATATCAGTTATTTATCTTAATTATAAAATTTTAAATTCATGTTGTAAGAATTGAAGTATATTTAAATCAGTAAATAATAAGATTTTTTTATTTAATATTTTTTAGTTATGTGATTTTTTTTCGTGTCGAGATTTTTAGATAATGGAATTATCAAAATGCTTAGGTAGTGCAACCTAATTTAGCGAGAAATTAATAATTACTACTTTGTCTAACGAGGTTTTTATTGTTATTGAGAAATATGGTAACCGAGATATTGATGTAAAGACAATTATTGCACGATTTTTCGTCGACAAAGCGCGTGATTTCTCGGGGTAAATATTTTGAAGACATATTTGTCGAAATTTGCGAGGATTAAACTAGTAAATTCGAGTTTAGCCTGGTCTAATGTTGGATGAATATCAGCACCTTTCTTTTCGGACGACGCGTAAACTTCTAATCCCATTAAACAATTATAGTCTACTCAATCGGTCCAGTACCCGTCGTCTCGTGCGGCACCACGCTGAGATTTGACGTGGGATGAGGCACCTGCATTGTCATGCTGAGCTATAGTCGTTTTGTTGCAGTCCTGACTTTTATCTGCAAGCCACAATAATCCATCGCCTTCCTAAAGAGTGCTTCTTTTTTCAGTTAAAACTCCTCCACTCTCGTGACAATACTGTTTACATATAATATAATTTAATTCTTTCATTAACAATTTATACTATATTATTGGAAACTAGTGTATTTTATTCAAGTTTATCGATCGGCAAAACAATTAAAGTGACGAAATAACTTTAAATCGTAAAGCGAAAACTATTATATATTTAATTTGCCAATGTTTTGTGATAGAAGAAATTAGCAAGTTAATTCAAAAGCACTTTTCCTCAAAGGCACGTTCAGATTCTCATCCAAATACCACTCAGGTATCGTTTTATTCTTGTTGTTCACCGAATGTTAAACAAGAATAAGATAATACCTGAATTCTTGGGAGGGGAGAAAACTCTGAACGCGCCACAATAATGTTTAACAAAGGTGCTAAGAAAAACTTGAAAATATCCCTGCTTCTGTCCACTTATTGAGAAAAATTTACTTTTTGAGAAACCTATATAGTAAACTTTGACTTCTGTTAACTGCTTGAGATGATGTTTGAAGAGCGCCTAACGTTAATTGTCCGGCACACCCAGATGTCACGTCTTAAACAGTATACGTTTTCGGATGTTGGGCGTTGTGTCCATCAAAGAATCAGTCACAACAATTCAGCGGGTGTCTACTGACGAACAGACAGCTGTCTATTGAGAGAATCGCGTGGGATTTCCAGAAGGATTCCGTCTTTATAAAATGACGCACCGCATTCCATTGAAACGGTGTCACTTCCTGCGAGAAAAACGGGAGTTTTGAAACCGCGTGAAATAAAAGAAGGAAGAAGATACGAGTTAAAGAAAGAACCAAAATTTCGAATAACCTATTCCCTTGAGAGAAAGAATAACTCTCTTTTTTCTAGAAGAATAGATCTCTTTTTTTATATTTATTTCATTTCCAACATTATAACTGCTGTATTTACAAAAAAAAGTTGTAAAACTTGAAAAGGAAGCTACAATTTTATGAACGATTATTTTACGAGATTATAGCTTTGATCAAGTTCTTAATTGCTATATATTAACGAGATAGCGGATAACTGTCTTTCTTTAATTTTTCTCTCTTTCCTCTTTACTAATAGAATATTTGATAGGCATCACGAAAATAAGTATCTACATCTGTTACACAAGTTTCAAGAAACGTTCGAACGTTTAAACGAAACGATCTGGATCCAGAATTGGATCGAGCATAGTACGTGCAACTCTCTTGCGGAATCTATTATCCAATCGATCTTCCAGCCAGAATTTTCCATAATTCTGCTCATTTTCGAAATGGCGCCTGGCTTTTTGTATGCCGCTCGCACGAAATCGTACCAGGGACATGGGAAACCCTGCACAATGGAGTCATCAATCATTCCGTATGAGAGTTACTCGATTGCTGCTCTAACTATGCGCAGCCTTGTCGAGTTAGGCATAAATGTGAATGTAATCAAACACATTTACAGATAATATTAAAAATATTGTTGGTGATTGCAAATTTATCTCTGATTTTGGTCATTTTAACATTTTTAAAATCAGTATTTCTTCTGCAAATTGTATAAGAAATAGTAGTTCTCATAGTTATATAAAGTCAATAATCTTAAAATATAACGAGTGG